AAATTAGGTAAATTTTTTTATTATATATCTAGCCCTAATGAGGGAAGCCGGCTTTTTAACTAAACCGGCTTTAAAAAAAACTCGAGCCCGAACCTTAATAAATCGATAGATGACAATATCATACAAATAAACAATTTAACAGAAATACACAATAAAGTTAATAAAAAATAAAAAAATAAGTGATTCATATATAATATATATATAACTACTTTTTCTATAAAATACTAAAAAGTAATGAAATCTAACAGAACTACTAACAAAAAAAATTTGAATATTATGGAGGAATATTTGTCGATTTTGCAGGTTGTTAAAAATCGTGTTTAGTTATAAAGTGAATAAAGAATAACTGAAAGCGTTACCTGAAGAAACAGGCTATCACGAAAGTTATGGCGGAAAGCACGTTGGACATGGCCGCCGCAAAAGTGGCCGTTGTGTACTTCATACCCAAAAAATAGAGATTTTGGCCTATCACTGGCCTGTTCATATATGTTTTTCATACCAATTAAAAAAAATATATATATATATATCACATATTGAAAAAAATAAAATAAAAATAATTAATTAAAAACAACTTACTCTAGTAGACTCATAGCCATTATCTTGAAAAATATAGACCAAGTCATCTTTGGCCTGATATTCCTGCAGATTATGGACAACAAAACCACTTGAGATCATTTCTATTCACTAATAAATAACTTTTTTTTTTAACATAAGATCAAACTAAAAAGTATACCAAAATTAATAAATAAATAATTAAAAACTTGTACCTGTCTAGCGCCAAAGCAAAAGGCGCCATAATAATTGTGGCAACTAAATGCCTATAAACAACAAAAACATAGTTGCTCATTCCATTGTTTAATGCAACTTTTGATATAATGTCCATTCCGGACAGACCGGCTTGTAAGAAAATGACGAGAAGAAATGGCGTCGCCTTTTGCAACACAAGGCGCATAGTTTCGGTTGTCATCTTTCTTCTTCTTCTTGAGTGAGAGAGTTTAAAGGCGTAAAGGAGAAGAGAGAGAGAGAGGAAAATCAAAGAAAATCAAGGGTTGAGCCGCCCTTGACCGTCATGCTTGATCAGTTTGTTTTTATATGCATTGACTGTGGGTGGTTTTATTTGGTGATTTAAATATGCACGTGTGTATGCGTTTTTTATAAGAGGATAATGAAACATGATTAAATAATTTAAATTTGAAAGGAGGACGAATAATGTAATTAAAGAGAGTTAGAAAAAAAAAAAAAAAAAGAGTTTGTTGTGGGTTTGTTAGGATTACTGAACAGAGTAAAAGAATTTTAGTCCCCAATGTGTAGGGGAGTTTGTTTTACTTTGGGTTTTAAAACGAGAGCCGCTCGTTGACTACACGTGTCACTCAATTGCCATCGATCTCTTATCGAGATAAGTTGACTATAAAAGTCAACAAGGAAATAGGTCAAATGGGTGAAAATGTGAACTTACTGCAATCTCTCACCGTGAAACTTTCATTCAATCAACGATTTTACTGTAATGGTCTCGTTTTGTTACAGTTTTATTTTATAGACTTTGTTATGTGTACGTATATAAGATTTGTAAGCATAACATATACTTATTCATCAATATCATATCGATCAAAAGTCAAAACAGAAATACAAATTAGAAGCTTCAGGTGGATGTTATTTAATATTTATCGTAAAATAGTTATATTTTATTTTCCATTATATATATATATATAATAATGGAAGATGCTACGGTTCGTTATGGAACTATTCTAATGCAACTTTTGATATAATGTCCATTCCGGACAGACCGGCTTGTAAGAAAATGACGAGAAGAAATGGCTTCGCCTTTTGCCGCATTGTTTCGGTTGTCATTTTTCCGATAATTCAAATAAACAAAATCCCTTTTATAAAGGGATTTATCCAAGATTTTTTTTCTGTGTTAAAAACGAAGAAACGTTGAGATATATATAGCACGAGATCATCTCACACACGTGCATATGAAAATTTTGGGTGAGAGAGGAATCTTTTTTCGGTAACAGATATTGAGTGAAGAGAGTCCCAATTTTCACGCGTGAGATAATAGTTTTTTTCGCAACAGATATTTGAGTGAAGAGAGTCTCAATTCACAACGGCTTACGTGGAAATCATTAATGTTTAAAAAAAAAAGAAAAAATAAAAATAAATTCAATTAGAATTCACATCTCTTCTAAAACTGAACGCAAATCGAAAGGCTCACTAAGCCCAGCATCCTCCACTGCTTTCTCAATAGACTTTTGCATCTCTGACTGCCTCTTCGTCTTGCATCAAAGGGGAAATTATATTAGAGTTGTAGTAGGTTACAAATTAAACGAGCCTGGCTCGGCTCGGTTCTCGTTAGGGCTCGAGTTCCGCGAGAGCTCATTTAAAGCTCGTTTGGTTAACGAGCCGAGCTCGGCGTGATAAGGCTCACTAAGGATCGAAAAGAGAATTTTTATACAATTTTTTATAGTTCGGCTCGTAAAAGCTCGAGTCTAGCTGGTGAGTCAAGAAAGATGAACATAGCATACCTCCAACTTAGCTTTATAAGATGCAAAGGAAGTTAGTTGCTTCGAGCTCATCCCTGCCATTAAAACCTCTGGTTCAGCAGCTGTCTCGAGTAGCTTCGTAAGCTTAGCCCCTTCTTCGCTTTCATGATCACCACCAAGATCGCATTCGGCTTCTCTCTGAAATGATGATATGATACCTTCAACTATTGTATCACGCCTGAACTCAAAATAATATATATATATTTAAATAAATAAGGATATAAAAGACGGTGAAAGAATCAAGAACATCTCTTCTACTTATTTTGAAACAATGTTTAATGAGTATGAACGCCCTTTAGCTGTGACTCCTGAAATACATATAGTGTGAGATGAAGATAATATGAACTGATCAAGAGACCCATTGATGCAGCACGTGGTAGACAAAAGGGAGAATTGTTCTTGAAGAGCTCAAGAAACCAGAAGAATATAAATCTTATTATTAACAACTGCGTAAAAGTGTTTGATAGGAGTACAATATATATAGGGGAAACCCCAAGTCTCCTAATTATTATTCCTAATATTTATCTTGTTAGGCAAGACAAATAATAATCCCAAATAACATGCAATAAAGATAAACATAATATAAACTAGGAAATAATAAATAGATAACTAAATATGAAGTCTCTCGTATTTTTCCATATAAGCGAACGCGGCTTCATCTGCATCATTCCCCCCCGGTTGGGAAGGATTCGCCCTCGAATCTGGGGGGGCTTCATCTGCATCATCATTATCACCGGTATAAGGGAGGAGGTGCTTCACATTTAAACACGTCGGACGTCCGAATGTGGCTGGGTAGACGAAGACGGTAAGCATTGGGGTTAATCTTCTCAACGATCTCCAAAGGGCCAATCTTTCGGGCGGACAACTTGTTGTACTCGTGGGCAGGAAACCTGTCCTTCGTTAAAACGGCCCCCACAAAGTCGCCCACCTCGAACTCCACCTCCCGCCGCCGGGTATCAACCCGCCGCTTGTAAGCAGCAGCGGACTCCTCCAAACGCGCACGCGCGGCCGCATGGCCCGCCTGCAAGTCGGCAATGACGTCAGCGGCACGTCTCTCCGCCGTGGGGCCGGAAGAAATAGACAGCAGGTCGGCCGGGCCGCGCGGAAGCACACCATAAACCACCTGAAAGGGCGAGAAACCCGAGGACCGACAAAGCGCCGAATTGTGGGCGAACTCGGCCTGAGGAAGCCGCTGATCCCAAGTCCGGAGGTTGTCACCCACCAAGCACCGAAGCAAGTTACCCAACGAACGATTGACAACCTCGGTCTGGCCATCAGTCTGAGGATGATAAGCGCTGCTAAAATCCAGACGAGTATTAGCCATGCGCCACAGGCTACGCCAAAAATGGCTAAGGAAACGGGTATCACGATCCGAGACAATAGAAGACGGGAGCCCATGTAAACGGTAAATTTCCCGAAAAAAAAGTTGGGCTACATGCACCGCGTCTGCCGTCCGCTTACACGGAATGAAGTGCACCATCTTCGAGAACCGGTCAACCACCACAAAAATCGAATCAAAACCCCTCTGGGTGCGAGGAAGACCCAAGACAAAGTCCATGCTAATAGCGACCCATGGCTGGGACGGGATAGGCAATGGACGGTAAAGACCCGCATTAGTCGCTACGCCCTTGGACACCTGGCAAATCCGACAACGACTAACAAAACGAGCAATATCGCGCCGAAGACTCGGCCAAAAGTAAGAGCGGCTCACCAAGTCAATAGTGCGGTCTCTGCCCACGTGGCCGACGCCATGCAGATCAGCGACGAGCTTGAGGCGCAAGCTGCAATCCGGGATGCAAAGACGAGTCCCACGAAACAAAAAGCCATCGGTGATCACGTAATCCTCAAAAACGCCGTCGACCAGGCGTAAGAAAATCGGCCCAAAGAAGACGTCACCCGCATAAGCCTCACGCAACACGTCGAAACCGACGACAGAGACGTGCAAATCAGTCAACAAAAGGGAACGGCGGCTAAGCGCATCAGCCACTTTGTTCGAAGATCCAAAACGATGTTTCAACACAAAGGTGAATTGCTGAAGAAAGGTCGTCCAAGCCGCGTGACGAGCAGAGATATTGTCCTGGGTAGATAAGTGCCGTAAGGCCGCATGATCAGTAAAGAGGACAAACTCCCGGTGGAAGAGATAGTGC